CAGCTCAAGGCTAGTGCTCAACCACTTGAGCCACAGCACCACTTCCAGCTTTTTTCTTATGTGGTGCTGAGGAATCGAACCCAGGGCCTCAAGCATGCAAGGCAAGTACTCTCCCATTGAGCCACCTTCCCAGCCCCAAATCTCCTTTTATAGTAAGCAAAATCATCCTCATTAATCAAATCTATTTACAGCCTTTGTTTTTTCTTGATGTCATCCACACCTGAAAATTAGGAACTCAATTCAGAGATGTAGTAACTTTGTTTGGTTTTAATTTTTTAACTTACAAAGGTTATTGTAAAATTAAGTTAACAAACTATTCTTTAAAATCTATATTCTTGAAATGCATCAACAGCATCACTATTATCACCATTTTCCCCCATCAGAAAGGCAGCTTTTATGCATTTGATTTCATGTGAAAGTGAAAAATTCTCATCATCTTAATGCTTAGAACTGAATATAAATTTCATTATGAATAATAAACTGAGTCAAGCTATAAATCTAAAATAAAATCTCTAACCCACAAAATAACCAAATATTCTTATATAATAATCTTACCTAGACTGGTGGGTTTTATCAGTTCATCCAGTAAGTCATAAAATGGTAGTTTTTGAAGTTTTATATCCGGATGGACTGGGTGAAGAGCTGATGTAAGATGTGGGAGTTCCAGTTCATGTTTAGGTCCCAGAAGAGAAGCAGGGAGTAGCGGTGACGATGCAGGGTGACCATCATAAGTGAGTTGTGGAATGGTGGATGGAGACAAAGTTGCTGGCATAGGACTTGAATGTACGTTTGGGATGGACAAGTCCGCAGGTGTCATAATTTTCTGGGGAAATCGCCGCCTATAGAGTTCCTTAATTTTCATTTGTACAGCAGGACTACAGCCAGCCTTTAGCAAATGCAGTGCTTTTGTGAGAAGTTCGTGTTTGCGTCCGTGCTTATTTCTCCCAGCGTAGCCCAACAGTACTTGGAGTTCAGAAACTCTAAGGCTCATAACCATTTGCTTGAAGAAGAAATAAAATGTAAAACATTAGTCTCAAAAAGAGTACAATATTTTAAAATATTTCATTATAATCCCTCTTTATAGTTATGTCAAAGCAACTCATTTACAATCCTAATTATTTCAAATTTAATCTCTTCATTTAATCTCTTAAATAACCAAAGAAATTTAAAAGTAATGTTCATAAATTCATTGAGTTCCACCCAGGATCATGAAAGATGTGAGAAAAAGCATGCATCATGTAGAACCATCTCTCACTTCAGTCTACAGTTTCAGTAAAATTGTCAGATATTTTAACAAGCAGTTACTGTATCTCCAGGAAAATGTACTATGTAAATGGCAAAAGAACATTTCTGGTTTCTTGGGAAAAATTATAATAATATGTAACAGCTCACCTCAAATACTAAATGTAGGTGGTAGGCTAACAATATCATATTATGAGGTATTACATTCTATATTAACTCTGGAATTTGTAAGACTCAAAAGAATAGCTTTTTGGCCAGCTTAATTTGATATGTTCATGTAAGTTATAATTATAGTATATCCCACAAGGTATTATCCTTTCTGCTTTATATAAAAAGACCAGAGTTCACAAAAGTTAAGTAAGTTTCTTGATGCCCTAGCTAAGCAGCAGTGAGAATTCAAATCCAGCTAAACCGCTAGGTAGAAAACAAGGCTGGACATATATTATTTACCCTTGTTTGACTTGGAAGATTAGACTAAAAATCCAGGAATTCAATCTACATGCCAAAATGTATGAAACTGTGTAAAGAAATCTATTTACTTCATTTAGCCCTGTGTTTTTAAGTGCTTTTGATCACTGTTACTACTAGGAAGTAAACAACAGGAAATGGCCATCTAATCCAATCTTCCCATTTTTAAGGCAGCAGAAAATGGAAACCAAAGAAATGATTTACCCTGCTTCACCTAGGTAGTAAAACAGAATACTGCAGATTTTCACCAGCACTGACAGGGAGGGAGGGTTAGGATGGGCAGACAGATGCTAGCTTAACATTCATTAGCTTTATTTCCTCAAGTGTTTGATTTCCTACCCCATCGCAAATTTCACTACATAAAGGCTAAGCTGTCTTTGCTAACTCACCACACCAAAGTAACGATTTTCCTCCTCAGCTCTTCCTTTTGAGGCTTGTGCAGGCGGCAAAGAAAACAAATAAGACAGAAGTACATGAAAAGGAGAATACCAGTGCCTCAAAGTCCAGCTTTTGTCAACCTTTCCCCAGTAGACAGGAAAAGAACTATATCTACTTTTTGTGCCAGTTACCAGTACTGAGGCTTGGCCTGTGCCCTCCTGTCCCTGAGCTTTTGGTCAAGGCTTAGTGGTTAACACTTGAGCCACGCCTCCACTTCAGGCTTTTTAATTGGAGGTGAGTCTCGTGGCCTTTTCTTCCTGGGTTGGCTTCAAACTGTGATCCTCAGATCTCAGCCTCCTGAATAGTTAGCTAGGATTAGAGGCATGAGCCACCAGCATCCAGCTATTCTACCTTTTTACACTGTCTCCTTCTCACCCTCCCTCCCCACCCCTTTCTTTGCTGGTCTTGAAGTCCCTGGGCCCCTTTTGCTCAAGGCTAGTGAGCTGCCACTAGAGCCATAGCACCACTTCCAGCTTTTTCTGTGATTAATTGGCAATAAGAATCTCACAGACTTTCCTACTGTGATCCTCAGATCTCAGACTCCGGTAAAGCTAGGATTACAGGTGTGGGTCACCAGCATCCAGCTTGTTCATATCTTTATTTTAGCATTTATCCTACTGTTCTTGTTTATGTAAGTGATTTCTTGCCAAAACTCAAGTTCTCTAGAGCCCACAAACATGTTATTCTCAGAATCTAGGACTAGGGCCTAATAGTAGAAACTCATCAAACAACTAGGCAACAAATAAATGAACAAAAAAGACATATTAGAAGAGTGGTACAGTGTACCCAAATGAACACCCAAACTTTATGCTTTATAGAGGTGTGAAAAGGTATCACGTTATCTTTAAAAACAAATTCTGCTGGGTGTGGTGGCCCATGACCACAACACCTTAGCATTCTGGAAACTCAGATAAGAGAACTGACAATTCAAGATCAGCCTGAGTTACATGGTGAGACTGTTTCATAAAAACCACAAATGAGCCAGGTATGCTACTTCACTCACATCTGTAATCACAGCTACTCAGGAGGATAGCAGTTTTAGAGTCCAACGCAGGCAAAAAATCAGTGATACTGCAAACATAACAACCAGATACACCAGACCTCCCAGCTATGTGAGAGGCATAGGAAGATCATGATCTAAGGCCAGTTGTGGTAAAAATGAGAGCTAATATATGAAAAATCTCAAGTATAAGGGAGTGGGGCATGGCTCAAGTAGTAGAAACACTGTCTAGAAAGCTCAGGCCCGGAGTTCAAACTCTAGCACTGTCAAGAAAAACAAAAAACACTAAATGTATGGACATATACACACACACATTCTACCGCCAACCTTATATTCCCTTTCTTAGATGATATCAGATTAATAATTACTAACTTTAAGTCAATAGGATATCATCTTTTCCCAACCCAACAAAATGTCCTAAAGCACACAAAATACTTTTGAAGCTTTTCATTCTTTATTTAAAAGGGATAGGAAACTCAAACTGAAATACACTATTAAGTTTCACATGTAGACTTAACAGCGAGAGGTTGCTTCTTGAGAAGGCAATGGAGGGCTAGCATTATTTTTTTCCAATAAAATCAGCTTTATCCTTTTAAAAAAAGTAATCTTCAACTGTACATGGTGGCACATGTTTATGATCCCAGCATATGGGTGGCCCAGGCAGAAAGAACTCAAGTGTGAGCCCATCTGGGACCGCACCTTGTCTCAAACAAACAGTAAATAAGCAAGCTAGCTAGCTAATTTCTGCTTATAAACAAACAACTTGAAGCAGGGTGCTGGTAGCACTCATGCTTGTACTCCTACATACTCAAGAGGCTGAAAGTGATCTAGGCAGAAAAATTCTCAAGACCCCATCTTGAGAATGAGCAACGATCAGGGCAGGAGGTGTATTTAGGGCCTGCCTAACAAGTAAGTGCAAGGCACTGAATTCAAACCCCAATACCACCAAAAAACAAAGCAGACAAATGAAATGATCTTCCTTCAGTGTTTTTCTATTCTCTTTCTTATATGCCTATTATTTAGATGTTGGCCTTCCTAGAATGATTCCCTAGATGTTCTCAGGGGAGAGTAATGACTAGGGAGAGAAGAAGGGAAGTCCTCACCATTCTATTAGAAAACATTTCCCTCAATCCCCTTTTCCAGGTATGAAAAACTTCATAAACGTCTTTTTACGTATGTGAACCCTACCACAGCCACAAAGGCAGGAACCATATTCTAAGATAGATAGATACAATATGCAAGTGTTATTAACCTTCAGACAGAGTGCTTTTTGCAATTAAATAGAAAGTTCCAGTTTTATTATCTCATTAGCTATGACACTAAAGGTCATATCTAAATTGTGAGTAAGAATTGGGTGCATCTGTTGTACAACATAATTACTCTCATTCTACATTCTACTGCAGTGGTTTACAGGATCAGTCATAAAGCAGACCCTATATTACAAATTTTTACCTGCTACCACTTTATAACCAATTATAAACCATAATAAATTCTAAAATAGACAAGTTAGGCATTTAGAACTGTTATTTCAGGGTTGACATTGTCCAAAAAGAAATGAACTCTTTACCTGACTTATGTAACTGTAAACCCCTTTGTACATCACCTTTTTTATTTATTTATTTTTTTGCTGGGCATGGGGCCTGAACCGTGGGCCTGGGCGCTGTCCCTCAGCTCTTCAGCTCAAGACTAGCGCTCTACCACTTGAGCCACAGTGCCACTTCCAGCTTTTTCTGCTTATGTGGTGCTGAGGAATCGAACCCAGGGCCTCATGCATGCAAGGCAAGCACTCTGCCAGTGAGCCACCTTCCCAGCCCTACATCACCTTTTTAATAAGAGTAAAAAAAAATTAAGTTATTTCAGGACAGATATGGTGATTAACACCTGTAATCCCACTAATTGAAAGACTGAGATCAGCAGGGTCATGGTTCAAGACCAGTCCATGCAAAACCTTTATAAGATCACCATCTCAACAATTAAAATGATGACAGTGTCATTTCACCTAAACAAGAAACCCATTCAGACCACCCAGACTAAAAGGGAAGGAAGGAAGGAAGGAAGGAAGGAAGGAAGGAAGGAAGGAAGGAAGGAAGGAAGGAAGGAAGGAAGGAAGGAAGGAAGGAAGGAAGGAAGGAAGGAAGGAAGGAAGGAAGGGCTAGATACTAGTGGCTCTGACCTAGAATCCCAGCTACCCAGGAGGCTAAGATCTAAGCATTGTGGTTCAAAGCCAGCCCTTGCAGGAAAGGCCATGAGATTTTTCTTCCTCCTCCAATAAACTATTCAGAAAAGGCCTGAAGTGGAACTGTGGTTAAAGTGGTAGAGCACTAGCCTTGAGTAAAATAATCTGGAGAAATAAATGCCAGGCCCTGAGATCAACCCTAAGACAAGCACATACAACAACAACCACCACGACAACCACAACCACAACCACAACAATCAAATCAAAAAGGGGGCTGGGAATATGGCCTCATTTTAGAGTACTTGCCTACCATGCATGAAGCCCTGGGTTTGACTCTTCAGGACCACATAAACAGAAAAGTGGAAGTGGTGCTGTGGCTCAACAGTCAACAGGTAGAGTGCTAGTCTTGAGCAAAAGAAGCTCAGGGACAGTGCCCAGGCCCTGAGTTCAAGCCCCAGGACTGGCAAAAAAAAACAAAAAGGATAGGAGGCATGGCTGAAGTAGGAGAGCACCTGTCTAGCAAGTATGCGGCCCTAAATTCAAATCCCAGTACCGTCAAAAAAATAATAGGTTGGGAATGTGGCTTAGTGGTAGAGTGGTTGCATAGCATGCATGAAGCCCTGGTTTTAATTCCTCACTACAACATAAACAGAAAAAGCCAGAAGTGGCACTA